GCCCCCTAGAGGACGCAGTGTCTCGTTCCCTACTCAGGGAACCATGGTTACATATGTAACCTGAGATGCTTTTTGGCTAGATTTAAAACAAGGAAAAGTGCACTTTTAGATAAACAAGGCAATAATAGATGGCACTCGTGGTGGTAGTTAAACAAGTTATATTTATTGAGATTAAACGTGAATATGTCTATGAAAGATTGTATTACTGTACTGTGATAAAAGAGAATCACAATGCTGAAAAAGCATTTTCAGAAACAACGTTTGGATTTGAAATCAAAATAATGGATAAATGTTGTGTTTGTGGTAAACAGCCGCGGATCAGGAGCGGACTGCAAACGCGTCCTGTGCGAAAGCAAAATGAGTCCCTGCTGCTTCTGCACTGCATACACATACTGTATACGCACTGCAGACAGAGTACGTGTGAACTTGGCGCAACAAATCTAGTTCAACATCTGAGGCAACGCCACAAAGAGCTCTATGACCAATGCATGGCAAAAAAAATCCCTGGACACGGGATTTTTATTTATTTTTTCTGCCATATGTCTATTCTAGAGACATTTTGTTACACCTTTACTTACTGATTATTTTGCCTTATGTCTGTTCTAGAGACATGTTACAGCTTTTTGATAAAGCTCTAATTGGTTTTCTTTTGGAAATATGTTTCAAATTCACACTGAATGCATTAATGACTGTAAAGCATGTCTGTGTGTGTCAAAACCGTGATTAAAATCGAAATTGCAAAATTGATCAAAGAAATCGCGATAGGTTTTTTTTGTCCATATCGCACAGCCCTATTGTAAATCTTACTTATTTTTTGTCCATATAAATATCAGCATCTGCACCAAAATAAAATAATTGATAAAAAATTAAATAAAATGAATAAAATAGAGCTGTTTTTCATCCTCAATTATAAGCTCCATATTCTCACTATCATACTACATGAGCCATTAAAGATTTATACATTTCAAAAGGATTTGTCTGACTATTTCATGTTAGGCTTTAAGTTTCTCAATTTCCTCCTCTAAGACTCTCAACAGGAACACAAAAACATTCTACTGACCCTTAGCACATGGCGCAGGGTGAGGGAGCTGTGCATGTGTTGAAACTGTAGGCCGACGCCTTCCGGAGGAGGAGGAGGAGGAGGAGGATCTTTCGGTTCTTCGAAACCTACAACAATTTCATCAAAATCATCCTCCTCTTTCGTCGTCTCTGCCTGCTCCATCGCAGCGCTTTCATTCTGCTGCTCCTGCGTGTCTCTCTCATTCATCTCCGTGTCTCTGTCGTTCGGCTCTTCATCCATCGCTGCTTCTGTCCTGATGTCACTCTGAAGCTCAGATGGCTCCACGATCGACGGCTCTCTGTTAATGCTGAATGACAGGAAATGTGAAAATTATCCTCATAACTTCATCAGAAACATTAAGATGCATGTGTGTGTGTGTTGTGGATGTAGTTACCCGTGTCGGGCATGAGATTCTGCAATGTGCATGAAGTGCTGTGGTTTCAGGACCAGTCCATCGTTGTATACACTGGACTGGTTTGTGTTCGTACGTTCAGTAATCGCAGTCTCTGGCGAATCGGAGCGGTGAAGCCTGACCCTGAAAATACACATGCGTGATGTAAACACATAAATTAACCAAGACTGGGATGATGCAAAAATTTCAGCTCTGCATCACCGGAATAAATTACACTTTAAATTATATTCAGAAGAAAACAGTTATTTTAAATTCACATTTTTGAAATTTAAAACATTTTACAATATTGCTTTAACTAGATTTTCGATTAAATAAATGCAGGCTTGGTGAGCATAAAATTCTTTTCAACAACAAAAAGAAATTACATTAAAATTAATTCTCTCACATCACTTATTTACCTCAAAATAATAAATGAATCAATTTAAACGGAAAAAAAAATTAAAAGGAAGGGACATAATTTGAGTTCTTGGGTACTAAGTTTAAAAACAGGTGAGATCCACACTTAAAGTAATTTGTTGTTTTGTCATGATTAACAATTTGTCAAGCATGTCATATCCAATCTGTTCTAATCGGATTTATCATTATTATTATGACACTCCAATACTTTTTTTGTGTGTGTAGTTGTATATTACCATACCTTGTTGCTGGTAGTTTGAGCGGATGTTCTTCAAATTCATCATCCTCTTCACCTTCATGATCATCACTATGCATGGAGCCATAACTGCTGGGCGGCCGGTCCATCATGATCCTTAAAATAACGTTAACAGCGACATTAAAACAGAAACAAAGTAACAGCAGTGGAAACAAGCATGCGTCTACTCTGAAGTGGCAAACTCGTCCAAGCAGTCCCTGCACAAAACTCAAAAACAGACATTTTGCATTGCTAACAAACACCTGTAATTCTGAGGCCAAAATTCAAAGAGCACAACTCAAAACGCTCCACTGGATGAAGCGTCGCTGGAATCTAATACGCTTAAAAATCAAAGTAAGATCTTCATATTCATACCACGAGTGTTCATGCAAGCCTGGACCAACCTGAGCAGGTCATCAAATGTCTAAAACCAGCAAACACTCTGCTCTTTTAAATGCATATTGTATTTCAATCCGAAAAACCAAATGATTTCGCTGACAGAATGAATATTTTTTTGATAAAGTGGCTTGATATTTGATCAGTCAGATTATGGGTCTTCCTCACAATAATCCTAATCCTTATGATATTCTAACATCAACTGAGAAAGAGCATCTCATATTTCCAATTCCCAAAACACAGAGGAACATATACGTTTGCTGGTTTTAAATGGAGTGATACAAACTAAATTTGCACCAAAATGCCTCTAGAACGTGAGAACGATGTTGAATTATATACTTCAGGAATACATAAACAAATAAAAAGTATATTAACTAGTCTACTACTCAAAACATCTGTCCTGACAGATGCAAACCTGAACTATTACACCACGGTTACACGAGTATTTATTAATATACTGTCACTTAGTAACGTTACCTGCTACAGTTACTATTTACAACGTGCGTATTCTTTCTAGTTGTTGTTTTGCATTTAATTATTTGGATTTTACGACATTCTTAGTTTCTTTCATTTGCTCTGCACACCCGGTCTGGCTGGAGTTAGTCTCAAATAACCAAACTAACCTGGTTCAGCAGAACTAAGGAAAACAGGCCGGTTAAACAAGAAAAAACCGTCAAAACCTCAAGACACTTACCGATCCACTTCAGAATCACTATCGTCCCCAAAATTACTCATGATGGTGGTTAGAAACTCCTTACAAACCAATTACAGCACAGCTTCTACCTAAGAAACAGACACAAAAAAATATCGATTACAACCTTTTATCGAATAACAATTAAATTCGTGGCCTGAAAAATATTTGAGCTATATCAATATCTTAAGCGACAAAAACTTACCCAAACCATTTAGGAAGCACTCTAGCGTTAAACTGGCTTTATTTAAAGTCGGCTCGATGAATGTAGTTTTTAAAAACAAAACAAAACAAGCCTAAAACGTCCACAGAAATGTCATCCGTTGAAGCCACGGCCTGACTGACTGCTCTTCCGCGTTTCCGGTCACGCCGGTGACGTCATTTTTACTTTCGGTTTCTGCAACAAATGGGAAAAGACGGCGCAAAATTGCAACGCATTTTATTTCTCCATTTTTTTTTGTACTATTTGCAAATTAAAAAAAATTATACATTTCTGGTTTATTTATCGTAATAACGCCTTGCATAAATGTACATTTTGCAGCATGAGAGTGATCAACCATACTGTGGGAAAAAAATACTTTGCTATGTATACGTATGCATGAAAATGCACGATAAAAGTAATAAATATATAAAAATAAATACAAAGAAAAAAAATCTAAAACTAAATGTATAAATGAAAAAGTAAATAAAAGTATATTATTAAAGGAGGACAGGAAAAAAAGAAATGAGAAAACTGAATGCATCTAAAACATTATCTTCATAGAAACTAAACCTCTGCTTTTTTTTTTTTTTTTTTTTTTAATGGTCAACAGTAAATACGAAACATTCAAACACACTACTACAAAGTACATTACAAAAATCTTTTATTTTTAATACATTATTCCAAAACACACCTTCGATCAATTTACACAGTGAACAGAAAACAAACTAACAAATTATAGATAAAAATAAATCCAGGTTTTGTCCACAAATGATCCTGGACGAGAAAGAAATCACCTGTGGAGAAAGAAATGAGTTTCAAAAAATTAATGAAACAATATTAAAAAGTGTATTGCATAACAAGCAGATCCATACAGTCAGGAAAGATGATCAGTCCGTCTACTGCTCTCCCTAAACACACAAAACACAAATTTAACCTAGAAATTGTGCACAATGCATTAGTCCAATACTACTCAAATAAACTCCCAGCTCAAGTGAAGTCTGGTTCATGGTTCACACCAGGAGAGGGTCATGCTGTTTGTACCTTTTTTGGAGACTTGTTGCGAGGACATTTTCTCAATGAGAGCGGCGATCTGCTGTTAGCGGCGCTCATCGCAGGCTGCAGGGCACGACTGCCCACTGTGGGAGACTTACAGGCTTCCTTACGGTGCTTCAGGCCTCGCTGCAGCAAACTACCTCTTTGGCGTTTTGGTGTGTTAACAATGGTGAACATAACAGACTGCCTTCGCTTAGGCTACAGATGAAAAGAGTAGGGCAGAAAAATTGTGCATGCATGTATATAGACAGACAAAACATATATAAACTACCTTACCTCAGCATTTGAAAGTCTGTTAGCATGCCTGCTCTTAAGCATCACGGTCCGAGAGACGCAGCTCACCAACTTCTTTGCCTCACCTGTGCCAATGTACTGCTGCTAAAGGATTGCACAATTACACTTAACTCAAAATAGATGAAATATCTATTTCTTAAAAAGGAACAGTTTATTGAATCATTAGACAGAACACGTATTGAGAAATAAGTCTGCATGTGTTTTTTTGTTGAGAATCATATTTGATTGATCAGGGTTGTTGTTCTCGTTGTGTTGTACCTCAGGTATGTTCAGGTCATGCAGCAGGGATCCAGGCTGTCTGAGAGTCTGTGGTGTGTGTGAATGCTGGGATTCATGCAAGTGTAAAGCTGCACGGCGAATGCTCTCTGCCGGGTCACCCATCCGTAGGTCCTCATCCGTTAAAGTGAATGAGGGAAGTCCCACAGTGGTCTACAGAAGTAGACGAAGAGTTATTTTTAACGGTTACATATGTATTGGAAGTTACCTACATTAGAACATTATAATGGTAAGGAGCCCAATGGATGTTTAAAGTTATTAACATCATAAATTGAACAAAGCAATATTTAAAAAAAAAAAAAAAAAAAAAAAAAAAA